CGAGGAAATAAATTTTTCCCCCTTTAATAAAGGTGAGAGCAGGAAGTAGTAGAAGTAAACGAAACTTCTTGGGTCGCTCGAAAAGAAATATTTCGACGCACGAATTGATCGTTTCACGATCGCGGAAATTTTCGTCGCGTCTTCTTTTTTCCCCCGATGGAATTCTCACGAGTAAGAACCGTTCCTACGGATGGCGTACTTCCTCGTTGCAGAGAAGATTTTTCAGGCGGCGGCGCAATCAGCGCGCATACCTGCGAAATATTAATGGGACTCGTTCCTCGAGCGATGTGCACACGCGTACGCGCCACCGCCCGTGCAACGTGGCGCCAACAAAGAGGAACGAGCCGTTCTCCCCGCAATAAATCGGCACCAACCTGCGATAATAATCGATACCCACATAACGAATCGATTTACACGGACGTGAACCGGTACGCCATTTTATCACCCGTCCGTCTATCGCGTGATTACGCGACCGCCGCCAACCTCCTGTCCTCTTCTCCCTCGCTTTCCTCCGCTTTCAATTTTCTTCTTTCTTTCTTTCTTTTCTCTTTCCTTCCTTCTCTTCTTTTCTGGAAAAGGATCATCCCAAACGCGTGGAACGAGAGGATGGACGAGTATATCGTGGAATTCGATACAAACGTTTATCGGAAGTGAAGATCCTCTACTGATATCGATGCGCGTTCGATGCATACAAATGTTACGATATGAAAAATCCCACTCTTGCGCGAGATACGATCGTACGCTCGAGAATGCGAAAAAAGAAGAAAAGAGAGGAGAAGGAAAAAAGAAGGGCACGCGTCGAAGAATTTGAAGGAACGCGACTAAATATACGTTGGGAATGTTTGTACAAATTTTCAGAATTACATGCAAAATAGAGGATGACTAAACGCGAGGATATTAATACGCGGAGAGTGAATTAATTAAAATGTTGCAAACTAGTTTCCTTAAAATAATCGTTATGGATTATTTTACGATACGAAGGTAAAACAACGAAAGTAATACAATAACATCAATTGCGTATGTAATAAATTGAACAAATAATCGATAAATTTTTTCACGCTTTCGTCCTTTCTTTTTTTATCGATCGAACGGTAATAAAAATTAATTTCAACTTCGCGAGAGGTAAATTTTATTGCAAATTTATTAAATTTTTTACACCGAGCTACGCGATTAAACGCAACGTCCAATGTATTTTTAAGGACAAAAGAAACGATTCGCCGTTACTAAAGAAAATATCCAATACGTATAAAATCGTGTAACGAGTCTGATCGATTCTCGTGCCGTGTATAAATACAATTTAATTTTAATTCAATATTCGAATGGAAAGTGCGAATACCATTGGTCGTAAGATACATCCTTTCCGACTGATTAAACGAAAATTGAAAAAGATTCCTTCTCCTCCCTTTTTCTTCGTCAGCCGAGACGAGAATACTTTGAGAGAGAGAGAGAGAGAGAGAGAAAGAAAAAAATCGACAAACGTGATTGACAATCCGAACGAGACAACGTTATCAGCGGCCAAATGAAAGGAATAATATCCTCTTTCATACCGATATCGCCATTCTTCGCTACCCGCTAATAAATTATGTCACAACGTTGAGAAAGTTCGACCAACTCGCTCCTCGAATCTATCTTCTCTTAAGAACTTTCAATCTCTTTCTTCGCGAGAGACGTTCAATTAATATCGCCGCCTCGACCGCCTCGCTTAATTTAAATCGAATTAACATTCTTACAGTGTCAACCACCGATCGGAACACCATTTATCATCGACGCGAAATTGGTCCCAACACTGGATGGGACAGAATTTATCACGCTCGATATCGCGCGAATTAAAATACCGATCTAATTCCTCCATGGGGGACAATTATAACTCCTTCCTTTTCACTCTTTCGCGATTATTTCTTTTACGATTGGGATGAAATTACGGCGATCCCCACGAGGATTTCGGTGAAATTCCGCTTCTTACTCCCGTTTCCTCGGCTATCTTAATAACTCCCCCCCGCCGCTCGTTTGAATCCACTTACGAATCGGCCTCCACGATTATTTCACGCGATTCTTACAACGTAAACAGGCTACCGCTGTTTCGTCCCGTTCCGATTAACTCTCTCGGAATAACGATCGAACCAACGCGTTTGTGAAATTCGAGTAACAGCGCGGCAACGATCGATCCTCGTTATCCAATTTCCCAAATTACCTCCATTGTTTCGCGTGTAATTTGAATTTTTCGTCGAATCGAATTACGAGAGAGAGAGAAAGATAAAATAATTAGCTCGAATGCGAATGCAATTTTTTTTACATACGTACCAACGTACTTCTTACTCCCTCTGATAAAATTTCTGATAAAAAGGCAAAGTACGTTAGAATTTCTCTAGCTCGCGGTGGGTACGTTTCCACTGTCGATATCATCCACTGGAAAAATCACGAATCGCTATCGAAACCAACTCGAACGACTCGAGATCGATTAAAGGGAAGAGTGACGGGAGCATTTCGCGAATATCCCGGCGTTAAATCGCGCAAACTTTCGAGGAATTATCGATCCGTCGTCCAGTTTTCCCTCCAAACTCGGAATCTCGATTTACGCGAAGATTCGATATCGGTTTTTATGAAAATATTTCAAAAACGATGCACGGGAATCGATCGAGATATCACGAGAGTACGAGGAAATGAATCGCAGAAACTTGGAAAAGAACAAAGTTTGCGCCGATATATCTTTTCAAAGGATGGAAACTACTTTCGTCGAGATATCCGCAATTTCGTATCGGAGGAAAATTGAGAAAAGAAGTTGGACGAAGAAGAAGAGGACGAAGAGGAAGAAAAAAAGGATATTCGACGGATAATTATCGAAAGATTATTACCGCGCGAAAAGAGTAAGATTATCCTATAGACTCGAGCCAATACCTTTATCCACGATCTCGACGTCTCTGTCCCGTGCGAGATACGCTCGTTAAATACGATAAATCTAATTATCTTCGCGGTGACGAGTTGCGGCGATCAATTACGGATGTCGAGATCTGTTCGATGGTGAAAAATTTGAATCGACGTTATTCCACGTTCGATGAGAAACTTTTTATACGTATCCTTTGTTCAAATTTTTCGATCCATCCTCACCGCTAATAGCAGACACTTTTGATATCGAAAAAACGCATCGATCCATGCTCTTTGTGTCCCGATAAGCATCGATCTAATCGCGATTCACCGCGTAAATAAATCTTATTTAAAGATAAATTTGTTTCGCGTAACATTTATCAAAACATGGTACGGATAAAAGTGGAGATAAAAATCGTGCCGGTTGCGACACGAGTTGCCACGGATTCCAAGTATACTTTATTTCTTCGAACTACGTGTATCTACTACGTACGTACTAGCTACTGGATAAAAAGTAATCGCCAAGCAATATTTTCTTGCTTGCCTATAATAAATTTACACGCGTGGTTACGAAATAGAGAAACAGATAAGAGAACGGAATATCGCCAATTCGCGATTCGATCGAATGTTAAAAATTATTCGAGGATGGTAAATAAATTATTTGCACGAGAGAAAAACGGAAAAGAATGGGAAAGAAACACGGCGCGATAATAGCGGTGCTTCTCGAATCGTTCTCGATTCCTTTGCCCGAGAAACTCTATTATATTTTCCACAGCCACGAAGCATTTCCTGGCCGGTGGTGGAAACCATTTTTAGATCGTGGAGGGCTCTCCATTTCGCCTGCCACTTGGACCGCGCTAAGAGAGAACTAACAACCGGAATACACCGGCTCGCCCCGCCGCAAAAATGCTGAATAAATCCTCCCGAGGGAGGGAGGATCCGTTTTCAACCAAGATCTCGAACCGTTCGAGCAACTGTGAAATTAATTCGAATCGGTCTCTTACCCCTTATCTCTACGCCTCGCATCTTATCGTCCAGCGGACCGTTCTTTCCTTCCATTATCGATTCAAAGTCGGCGATCGGATTAGGATGAAATGGCGAAGATTCGGACGAACGAGAGAGGCGTCGCTGCGAATGCGGAGGGTCACGTTCGAAACGTTAGCACAAAGTAAGATACATGGGACAAGGGAGGTAGACAAATGGAGTCAATAGTTGTCAACCTCGAAGAGGGGGACGATCTCTTTCTTCTCTTCCAACCACGAGATCTTAAACTTTCTTCGTTCGTTCGTTAGCGCGCTACGAAATGAAATTCGATGAATTTCAAAGAAAGAGAAAAAAAGAAGAATTAGAAATATTAAGAAACTTTCTCTCACATTATACAACTTATAAAATTTGTTAATAATCTTTATATATGCATTATTATTTATTCGCTTAATAAATTTATACGCTATAATATTTTATTCACAACGATAAACTACTATTCGCTCGGAGAACGAAGAACGGAGAAACACGTCCGTTTCGTTCCGCGTTCGGAAACCGACTACGAATGTAAACAATTATAAGCGATGTGTTATTATTTCGTGTGTCGCGATTCACGTCCGCTCCAATATTCGTAATAATATTCTAATAATATTCGCAATGTTATATAATTTTTATCTTACTATTTTATCAATCGTTATTATCACGTTACGCTCGTTTTATTAAAATATAATTTTCGTTTCTTTAAAATTTAATTTTCTTCTATCGGAAATTTTTTAATTTTCTTTTCGTTGTTATTAATTTATACAAGATGCGTGATGAAGTTTAATCGTCTTTTTTTTTAACTTCCTGATTCTTAGAATTAACAGTGTCGTTTGAATCCATCGAATCGAATTTAAATTTAATTAAGATTTTTATTATTTTTTCTTTTCCGCAACGTAAAGAGCAATCATCTGTAAAGAAAATCATATCACGTATCGCTACCACGTTCGGAGATGCAAGTATACGAGTTAAAGAAACTCGCGGTTAATGACGAATGCGGGGAAAGGAAGGAAGAAAGGAGGAAAGTTCGCGAAGGAAGAGAAGGGGTCGATCCCGGATAATTACTCGGATGGATATGAAAAGTGGTTGTCGAAAATTTGAGAATGCGGTCGAGTTACCTTATTTCAGAGCGGCAGTAATTGGCAAGATTCTTCCCTTTTTGTTTGCTCGTCGTCCCTCGTCCGTCCGCCGTTCTCCTCCTCCTCCTCCTCCTCCTCCTCCTGCTCCTCCTTTTCCTCCTCTTCCTCTTTGTTCACCACTCGAACAACTTGGAAAGGAAACGAACGCAACGGGGTTCGAGGAACTAATATCTTTTTCGTGGGAATGCTCGGCCCGCAATCTCACACGGCGCGTACAATTTTATTTCCCGAAGGCCATGCTTTCCCCGCTCCTTTCCCCGCGATCTGGAACAAAAAGACGCGCGATTAGATTAGATTATACGCGCGAGCCGACTCTTTTCCGATCAAACGATCGTTCCACGAGTGCAAAAATTGACCGTCCATCCAGTCGAAACGAATATTCCTTGTCACGTAACGTCCCAAAGTAATAATAAGATAGAGTATCGAAATATCGTCAACCAATATATTCGATCAGAAACTTTTCATTTTCTAAAATATTTCGAAAATATAATTTCTCGTCGCGGACGAAATTAAAAACTTTGCCGTATCAACGAATTTGAAAATATTCGAGTTTTTTTAGCTTCTCAATTTCCAATTTCAGCATCTTCTTAAACGAACCGAGAATTCCTTTTAGGGAAACATTAATTTACTGCGCAAACAGGCAGAGGAGCGCTCGGGGGAAAAGCACTCGAGGAGAGAAGAAAAATGTTCGCGTATAAGAAAGTACGCTCGCGCAATCTCGTTACTCTCGAAAATCTGACAACTTTGGGTCGTAATCGATATACGTAAAGAAAAAAAAAAAAAAAAAAAAGAAAAGAAAAAGGCGAGAAGATCGAAGCGTTTTCCACACCCGTGGATAAAACGACGTTAACGAAGCGAAGATCTAAGACAAGACAATTGGAACGATTTTCAACGCGAACGTCGGCAGCAACTTTGCCAACGTAACGTCACGCTCCGACGTATTCGAGGGTATGCAAAGGAACAAGTTAATTAAGGACCACCCAGAAAACCGCTATCTTTCGAACCACGCGGATGGAAACGTGCCAAGATGGAACGGACGCGTGATTCGCTTTTCCCCCCTCTCTGCACCCGAATCCGAAGGAAAAAGCCAACATTTCCAACATTTTCAATTCAAGTTTCGGCGTTTTTGAAAAATCTCCGCCGGTTCGCGCGAAAGCCAAAAGTTCGAGTCTAAGCGGACAAAGATCGAGGATAGGATTTTGAAAAAGGACAACCTCGAACGTCGCCATCGAGCAAGCATCTTCGAAATTTATCGCTTTCCGACCGCCAAGGATTAGCCAACGACGGGTGAACGGGTGAGAAAGAACGGAGAAATTTATTTCCATCTCGGAAACAAAGTAGGCAACACTGTGAGACAGCCGAAATTTCTCGTTCCGAGATCGAGAGTCGCGCTTATCATTTTTCTGCCTGTATCAGAGACTGTCGCACATGTCTAATAGAAATATCGCTTTGAAATTTATTACGCGTACCCGCATCGACGAAAGATACACGCCACTTTACGTTGATTTTAAAGCAGAAAATTTTCTCTCTTTCTTCGACGATCGCAATGAGCTCGTGAAGCCAATTATCACTTTCGTACCGCTATCGTTTACCTTCGTTCGCGCTGATCCTTTCCACCTACTTTCGCCACGCAAACTTTGAATACTCGTTATTCTCTTGTCATTAATTTTCTTTTTCTTCGTTCATATTTCACCCTTTGATCGTAGATTCTTTCTTTCTCTATCACTTCCCTCCTCCTCCACGACTTGAAAATGTTTCTTCGACAAAGTGACGAGAAGTAGCGGTGAACAAAGCGACGCGAACGAAACAATTTCGCGTTCCTCTCATCACACGCGAGTTGACGAAGGTATCCTCCGTCGCAACTTACGGCGCGTTCGTAAAATTTCACTTGGTTAAAAACAAAGTTGAAACGTTTAGACGGAGCGAAAGGATGGCAGAGAGCGACTAACACCGGCCGCCCGATTTTACACGGGGCTTATTCGCGAAACTTGCTCCACCACCGATAAAATAAAATATTTACGCATCGGTGAAATGTGGGTTAACGTTTTGCATATCGCGCGTCCTCGCGCCGAGGATACCGGTCTAGCTCTAGATAACAGCTTCCTTTCCCCCCCTCCTCACGATCCTAATTACTCGTTCTTATCTAGACCCGCAACTTTGTTCGCTTCGACGAAATTTCGGCCGAGTTTCCGCCCCGACAAAAACAGGGAAGTGCAAACTCGACTCGTGGAACGGAAGGCAGGAACGGAGCGACGACTCCCTCGAGACGTCGGTTTTCGAAAATCGGTTCGGCATTTCGAGTCTTTTCCCTTCCCTTCGTTCCGGTTGAGAAAAGAAGGAGGAAACGGGAAAAAGTTAGGGGAAAAAATTGATAAATGAAATGGCGCGAAATTGGTAAAACGTTGAACGTCCTTGAACGTCGGGGTTTCCCCTTCCCTCGAGCAAGGTGAACGGATACGCGAGCGAGTAATTGTGATCGGGACAAAACGTTGTTGTAGCTCCCTATATAAAGTCCGAGCGAATGCACAATGATTCATTTATGAGGATCGCATGAATAAGCGATTGTATGTGAAATCAGTCGGTCATTTAACGAAAGTGGCGGCAAGGAATGTGAAAGAAACGGCGGGAAAACGAAATGGGATTTTTATCGATGGAATTCAAGGACGGGAACGCGATGCGACCGTTGACCATGAATAAATCGCAGCGGGATAACTCCAGCGGCAAAGTTTCAGCGCTTCGTTGTCGCCAACTTTCGTCGGATATTTCAGAAACTTTCGAAAACTTTCCATCCTTTTTTCTCCCCTTCTCCAAGGGCGGGAAATTTCGATTCGAGATCTTTTATCCCCCGTTTCAATTCCGTTCGGCGATATGATTTTAAAAAACAACGAGTTTTCGAAGAGGAGAGAATCGAGAAGGAAATATGGGGAGAAAACTTGCCTTGACCCTGGAAAGAAACGTTCGTTGGAGCGACGACGGGGGAAAAATCGAGCGGCAAACGAGGAAAGATGGTCCATTCTCGAGGGAGAAGGCAGACAAACGAGGGCAGATATTTCGTCGCGATGTATCGTTCCGTTTCGTCCCGTAATTTTTGTTACCTTCCCCTTCGTTCTCGCGCGAACAGAAAAAGTTCCAACACGGTTTATACATTCTTGGATAACATACATTCGGATACGAACGATTCCTTTTCCAGATTTTTTCCAATTTCGAAAAACAGGAGATCTCTTCTCATCGTGAAATTTTCCAACAACAAGGAAGAAAGAAAAAAGAAAAATAAATTTCGTTAAAGGAGAACTCGGCATGGCAATTGGCATGCAATGTATTCCATCGTACGAAACGCGTAATGCGTTCGAGAATAAAGATACGATTCGAAAGCGCGTAATCTAAGCGAACCGGTTAAATACGAAAACATTGCGATTTGTTGCGCGTGCACGATATCAAAGTTTGGTACCAAACCTACCAACTCTTTTATTGCGCGTTTAACATACCGGCGAATGAAATATCGCCAGCTTCTCGACAATACCGCGATCCTACGGCACCGGAATATTGATATATATTGATATAAACAAGAAAAAGAGAGGAGGGGAGGGGAAGAGGGTCTCTCCCGAACGATAACGCCAATTCTTCGGGCGAAAACGTGAATCGACGTTGAATTACACACATTCGATGATCTCGCGAATATAAATTTATAAAATTGATAATTTCTATCATCGATCTTCCCCCCCATCTCGACCGTATCCAAGTTAAATATAAACCGTTATTTCTACGTTGGAACGATATTTTTACTCGAGGCCTCGTATTCTTCTCGCTGTCTCGTAGCGAAACGAAAAGGAGAAAAATCGTGGAGGAACGATTCTCGAAGAACGGAAGAGATATCCGCAAAAATTGCAAATGCGATCGATCTTCACCTAAAGTCGAGATGAGAACGTTATCGATTATCGACCCATTATCGACCTTCGTATCGAATGAAACGCCATGCACGTAATCTAAATACGAATGATCGAACAATTAAGAGACAATTAAAGTTGCCGGAAGTCGTACGAATGCCCGCTCAAAATGTAATTGACGCACAATGATACGCACGATTCTCTCTTAATTACATTTCCAACGTCGCGCCCGTTACATATATATATATATACGTATATATAACCGTACTTCTTCGAACAATCGTTCAACTTGCCAATTAACCCTTTGGGAATAGATATTTCTCCGAATAACCGGCAAAAGAATTTCTGCGATTTTACGCTCGCTCTCAATTTCGTTCCCTTCCTTCCTTCCTTCCTTCCTTCCTCCGAAGATTCGATACCAAGAGGAGGATAAAATATCGCGACGCTCTCGCAAATCTCGTAATCGAATTTTTCAACTAGATTCCCTCCCAGAGTATTTTCTGTGGAAAATAAGCGAAGGGTCAGTGACGTGTGCGAGAGCGTTGCAGAGAAGAGAAAAACAAGGTTCGTTCGGGCAAGATTCGATGTTGTTAGCGATGATTTCTCGCGCACGAGAAACGATATTAAGCGGCTGACGCGCTACCAACGCCGCGCCACGAATCTACGATGTAACGACGGAAAATTCCTTATCTCGTGGCGAGAAGCACGTTCCTTAAAAATCAAAGGCCGTCGGCGTCAATCGGTTAGACGAACACGGATAGTTGAGAGACAGACAGCAGCGCTGACTTCACCGTACGTAAACTCAATAACGGAGAAAACGTTTTAGAAAATTTCTCGTTCCACTGATCCAATTCGACCGAGTGATTTCGTTCTCTCGACAGATAACCGTGTTCCACTCGCGTTTTTAACCTTTGAGGAGGAACGAATTTATCCGACCCGATAAAACCAGTTAAAAACCAGTGTTTCTAAATTGTCGTGTCGATATAAAATTCTCTACCTACCCGAATCCCACTTTGTTTTTCACCTTTCGATTAATCGTTCCAATATCATCCCCGATCGATTATTTTATTACATCGTTTAACGATTAATTTTCCGCTTCGACGATCGAATCACGAAAAATCTACTTATCTTCTATCGCCGCTTTTCATTACCATTCCGAAAAACAATAACGATCGTTCCCTGGACAAGATGGAACGAACTTGATGCGGGTAAAGAATACGCGCAATGGAACGTTTAATGGAAACCACGGAACGCGCGTATTCTCTTCAACTCCGTTACAGCGTTAACGTTGCGAATAACGAATACGAAAAGGAAAAACACGCACGAGTCGATACGGGATTCAAACGGCAATATTTGGTAATTATTCCCGTTCCCAGGAAT